GCACACCCCCCCACTCACCCAACGCCTTCATGTACTCATCGAAATTGGCCGTATCCACCAGCTTCCAGGTCCCCACGAAGGCGTCGACCATGGCGAGGGGGCGCGGGACACACACACACACACACAGAGCCACACGCGTGTATGGGGGGGTCCGGGGGTCCGGCCGGCTGCGAGCGTGGCACTGCGCCGCCCAGTTCACAGCTGCCTGCCGGCCTCGCAGCCGCCTTAAATAATGTCCTCATCACATGATTGGAAAGAGCACAACCGCGCTCCAGAAATACTCCTCGGCAGCGCTGCCAGCGGCCACCTCGGCCCGGCCACCCGTCACCCGCCACTGGCCACCAACCTCTGCCCGGACCCCCCCCCGGTTGCGGAGGGTCAGGTCGGGTCGGGTCAAAGATGGGGAGAGCAGAGTGGGTCAATTTTGTCGTGAGTTGTGTACAGTCTCTGCGCTGGCCGTGCGGGGTGGCCAAAGGGCGTGGGATATGGGGAAACTGAGGCAGGGCAGACCTGGGCACGGCAGGTGTGTTCCCACCTCATGGCAGCCCCAAGGAGGGGGGGGGTCGGGTGCTGCCCGTGGTCTGTGGGCAGTGGGGCACAGCCAGGACATGGGGACACCAGCAATGGCAGTGTCCTTCAGGGTAACGTGTCCTGGGGACAGGGAAGCTGAGCTGGGGAAACTGAGGCACAGGAAGCAGCAAGAACTGTGTGTGTGTGTGAGGCATCCAGGGGAGTGTGGGGACACGTGTGACCCTGTCCTGGCCCTGTCTGTGTGTGTGGGGACACGTGTGACCCTGTCCCTGCTGTGTGTGTGTATGGGGACACACACGAGCGTGCCCCCAGTGATGCTGTGTGTGTGGGACACTGGGGACAAGGACAGCCATGGGGCCGTGGGACCCACAGCACGTCCCCCCCCATGCCTCCCCTCGCTTCGGGCTTCGGTGGCAGCGGGGTCAGGGCCAGCGCGTCCCCCGGTCCCTTCCCAGCGCGCCGGGGGTCACCTGTGGCCGTGGGATTCGGTGTCCCCTGCCCGCCAGCTCCCTGGGGTTGCGCCTCTTCCTGCTCCCGTCCCTGGGCAGCGGAGGGTCCCAGCTGGGGGGATTAGTTGTCCCTGAGCCCCGTGGCCACAGCGTGTCCCCCTATTTTGGGGACATCAGGGTCAAAGCGACCAGGTCCGGGAGGGACGCAGGGACACTTTCTCCCTCTCCCTGGCCCCAAGGTGTCATCGCAGACGCCCAAAAATAGCCGGGAGCTCATGTTCAGCCTCCTCCCACCGGCACTGCCTCCGAGCGGGACCCCCTCCTCTCGCGTCCCAGGGGGGACAGGCACCAGACCCTGTGGGATGGGTGTCCCCCCACCCTGGCTGGGACACCCCGCAGGGGACGGCTCTCCAGGGAAAGACGGGTGATTTATTCCCTGGACAAGTCCCCAGGGAGCCAGAGCCCCCACTCACACCCACCCGCATGGCCCTGGAGGGAACGAAGAGGGCAGGGGCTGTCCCCTGTCCCCTCACCCTCCCTGGTGTCAGTGTCCCAAATCTGCACGGCCCTGGTCCCCACATGTGCTCCCAGGCTTCCCCCGAGACTGCGGAACCATGAGATGTGGATGGTCACACGGGTGTCTGCCCCCCCGAGACTGCGGAACCATGAGATGTGGATGTTCACACGTGTGACTGCCCACGCACATGGACACCCATCCACAGGAGCACCCACGCACACAGACACCCATGCTGGCACATGGACACCCATTCACAGGAGCACCCACGCACACGGACACCCATGCTGACAGAAACTCGCCACGCACGTGGGTGCCAATGCACACAAGCACCCATGCACATGAACACGCATGCACACGCCTGCCCATGCACATGGACACCCACCCACAGGAGCACCCATGCGCAGGAGCACCCACACGCATGGACACCCACTCACACGGATGCCCACCCACCCACAGAAGCTCCCGTGCATGTGGACACCCATGCTGACAGACACCCACCACGCACACGGGTGCCCATGCACATGAACACCCATGCACACGGCTGCCCGTACACATGGTCACCCACGCACATGGACACCCACCCACAGGAGCACCCACCCACACGGACACCCACCCACAGAAGCTGCCATGCATGTAGACACCCGTGCTTACAGAGACCCACCACGCACGTGGGTGCCCATGCACATGAACACGCATGCACACGCCTGCCCATGCACAAGGACACCCACCCACACGGACACCCACCCACAGAAGCTGCCATGCATGTAGACACCCGTGCTTACAGAGACCCACCACGCACGTGGGTGCCCATGCACATGAGCACCCATGCACGCAGACACCTACGCACATGAAAATGTATGCACGCGGCTTCCCATGCACACGGACACCCACGCACAGGAGCACCCATGCACACAGGCACCCACGCACACGGACCCCCCCCCAAAACCCACCCACAGGAGCACCCATGCACATGGACACCCATGCTCACAGACACCCACGCGTATAAGCACGCATGTACACGGCTGCCCACGCACGTGGACACCCACCCACAGGAGCACCCATGCACTCAGCCACCCATGCTGACAGAGACTCAACGTGCACATGGGTGCCCATGCGCACGAGCACCCATGCACACGGACACACATGCACGTGAACACACATGCACATGGCTGCCCGTGCACGTAGACACCCACCCACATGGACACCCACCCACAGGAGCACCCACCCACACGGACAGTCATGCTGACAGGGACCCACCACGCACATGGGTGCCCATGCACGTAAGCACTCGTGCACACAGACACCCAGGCACATGAACACACATGCACACGGACACCCACCCACGGGAGCACACACCCACACACAGACACCCACCCACGGGATCGCCCATGAACGTGGACAGCCTGCACACGCACACACATGCACACCGACACCCATGCGCACAACACCCACGCACACGGATGCACAAAGGTGCCCACACATGTGGGTGCTCCACGCACAGAGGCACCCGTGCACGCAGACACCCGTGCACGCGGGTGCCCACGCGCACGCACATGCATGGATGCCCGTGCACACGGACCCCCACGCACACACGACACTGCGTCCTGGCCGGGACTGGCCTCCACACCAAGGGTCGGGCAGCCAGTGACCTTGCCCAAGAGCCCGGGGGTGGCCAGGGCCACCCTGAGGCGCTGGGGACGGGTGCTGCTGGACACAGTAGCCCTGCGTGCGGCCCCCTACAGCTCTCCCGGACCCGGTCACCACCCTGGCGGTGGCCAGAGTGGACCTGGGCTTTGGGATTTATTTGCTGGTCCCACAGCGACAGCTATAGGTGACCATCCGTGATGGAGCTGAGTCCAGCACAACGTGCAACCCCTCTGCCCGGCTCCAGCCGCCAGCCGGCAAACCCCGGCCTGGGAAACCAGCCCCTGGCCCGGGCAAGATCCAGGCAACGCAAGTCCTTCCTGGCCTCTCGCCTCCCCCAGCCCCTCGGTGCCCGGGCAAGAGGGTCCCCGTCCCACCCGCCAGCAGAAACGGAGATTTTAGGGAGCACGGTCAGAGCCTGGGAAAGCC